GTGAAGGATCCTGGGGTAGGGGGCTTAGGCATGCCTCCACATCCCTGTCTCTTATACACATCCCTGTCTCTTATACACATCTAGATGTGTATAAGAGACAGATCGAGCCCTGGCGAAGTCCGTAACACCCTTTTCAAACTCCGCAACCGATTTTGTTGCCCACACGGGGATATCACCCTTTTCAAACTCTCCCAATGTGTGCAAAATGAGACTGAATCCACCGCTAGAACATGGAAAGATGCATCGCCATATTTTTCGTCTTTTGCCATTTCGAAACTGAAAGTGTGACACTGCCGGATATGTTTCTTCTTTTTTGTTTCTTTCATCTTCAGTCTCGTAATTTGCCTTTGTCTTCCTTTGCTTTGTCTTCGTTCCGTCTTTTCTCACGGTTTGTCCCCTCACCCTTTACTCTGCGTCTTTTTCACACTGTACAAGTGAGGCGTTATGGCACACGGGAATGCGGGAAGCTCACGCTAAACCACAGTGACTGTTATCAACGATGTGGTGAGGTGAGCCTTCTACGAGAGAGGCGCAGTAAAAGGGGAACTAAACGAAGAAATAGGGTCTCACTACACGATAGAACCTTCGACACGTATGTGGACAGACTGTGGAACGGGTGCATTTGGAGTCGATTGTGAACTGATTGAACACTCCGAATGTTTTGGGACCAACAAGTTGTCCAGTTACATTTAGAATGTTCTGTATTGGGGTGTACAAGAGAGGCACATCAAAAGGGGAGCTAAACGAAGAAACAGGGCCTCATTCCGCCATACAACATTGAGCACGCATCTGGACAGACTGTGGAACAGATGCATTTGGACTTAATTTTGGACTCTGATTGAACACTCGGAATGTTCCGGGATCGGCAACTTGTCCAGGTACATTTAGAATATTCTGTGGTGGAGTGAGGCCCATAATCAAAGAACCAAAAGTGGGGAAAGGAAAGGAAGAAGGGGGCCTCACTCCCCCCCACAGCATTCTACACGTATCTGGATAGACTTTGGAACAGATGCATTTGGAATTTTGGAGTCAATTTTGGATTGATTGAACAGTCTGAATGTTCTGGGATGAGCATCTTGTCCAGGTACATTGAGAATATTCTATAGTGGACTGAGGCCCATAATCAAACAGGCACTGAGGGCTCTACCCTCC